AACTAAGAAGAAGAACTGATGGGAGCCTAAGAAGATCGATCCATAGAAAACCTATGTGGAACGGTCAACTAACAAGCTTCTATAGCTGGGTACCCATTCAACAAGAGCGGAATTTACTAAAATCCGACGCATCTGTAGTTCCGACGTTCTGGAAACAGAATTAGATATTCTAAGAGAAATTTTCATCCAAAATGGATACCCAATGAGATTCATCGACAAAAATATCAAAACAGGAATTCGGAGAAACGAAACTTTAATTGCACCAGAAAAGAAACTCTACATGAACTTGGCTGTCAAGGGAGATTCAACAAGCGATATTGTCAAGAGAAGGATCACATCATTTCTGACAAGAACATTCTTTGCAGCAACGCTAAGAATAGTGTTCCCCAGTCGCTCACTGATCTGCAGAAGCCTCGAGGACAAGATCCCGCATCTGACTACTTCTATGTGCATTTGTCAGTTCACCTGCTGCTATGGAGCCAGCCAGGTACATCAGTCGTTCGACGCTCACTTTGTCCAAGAGGATTCAAGAACACTATCCAGCCAGCATGGTTGCGAAAAGGCAATAGTGGTGCAATAAGGAGTGCCATAATTGAACACCTGGTTAATACTGATCATTCCATTTCAACAAACACCTCCTGCTTCGAAGTAATCTACAGAGTCAAAAATAACCTATCGCCTTCTTTGTATCGCTGAGGCTATGGCCATTCACACAGAAAAACCGGAGCTGTGCATACAAAGGAGGATTACTCACCCACTTCTATTGTCTTGGTAACAATATTTTCGGTTTGATTTGATTTTTTTTATTTTGATGACTTAATTTTTGTTTCTTCGCCTGTTCTTTAATTGCTTATAATTCTTCTATTGATTTAGAACGCTTACGTGGTTTCGTATTCTCTACTTTGTTCCTATGTGTATCCTGAGTAAAACTCAATAATCAAACTATTCATATTATTCCGTAACTTCTTTAAGCAACTGTTTGTGACAATTCATCACCTTTGTTACTAGCCTAATTTTATTAACACCTAATTTTCTTGACTGATTTTGTATTACGTAACTCCAGTTACCAATCTTCACCTGTTTAGTTAAAATAACCATAACCAATTGTCTATTTTTGTTTGACAAACTTAATGTACACATACATACAAAATAACACATATATATTTGCGATTGCACTGATAAAAATAAAGCCCAGCTGGTAAGCTGGCCTTCTTCTCCTCCATGTCACCCTCGCACCCTCAATAATCATACGTAGACTAAGCGGTCCACGGAGGGAACAAACAGGAGTGAGAACCAGGGTGGGTTTAGTCCAGGAAAAGGGTGTTTTGATAATATCTTCACTCTTCGACAGATTCTGAGAAGAATAGGCATACTTACCGTTGGCGTCCAACAATCGTCATATTTCTTGACCTAAAGGCGGTATTCGATTCTGTCGACCGAGAGGTACTATGGCGATGTTTGGCTGTAAAGGGAATGCCGAGAAAATACATTGCACTGATCAAGGCTCTGTCACTCGACTCGAAATCATGCAGTCAGCCAGCCAGGTGAAGAGCTTACGGCGAGTTGTCATCTGTAGTGGTGACAACAAGTGGTTTCCGTTTTTGGGATGCCCACCGTCCCCGTTTCTAATCAATTTCATCATAGATCTCCTAATGGAATTAACTCTAACTATTGACTTCAGCGACTCAGGGATTGACTTGTTGCCACCATGGAGCGAGTAATCTCGTTGACTTAGAATATGCAGATGATATAGTCCTCCCTGCTAGGTGAAGACGCTGACAAAATGTAGAGTCTTCTGATCACCTTGAGCTGCAGCAATCTTCGAATGTTCGGCATGCGATTTGCTCCTGCTGTCAAATGTAGGATGATGCCACAGTACTGATTGGACTAAATTGACTCCTAGCTTAGAAATACGGAGTGAAGCGATCGGTTAGGCGTGTTGACCACTTCACTTATTTGAGAAGTTGCATCAGCCAATGCGAACGGGTTGATCGCTAACGAAATGTCAGCACAGATACAGGAAGCAAGTTTCGAATATTTCTGTTTACGCCGTCTGTGGCGTAGAAGTGATATCCGGCTGGCTGACTGTCGACCAAAGGGCTTGTGTACTGCTTAGCAGTCCGCTCCGTCCTCATTTATGGCTGGCTGGCTGGGCTGTGAGACCTGGTCACTGAGAGTGGAAGACATGAAAAGCCTTGCTGGCTAGCTGTCTTTGATCATAGGTGCCTGCGTTCTGTCTCCCATGTTAGTTGGTGGTATTAATAGGGTGAGCAATATTGAGGTTAGGAGTCGGTCGAATGCTAGGTAAGGAGGAGAGGAAATCAATAGACGAGTCTGTGAAGCTACATCGACTGAGATGGTTTAGACTTGTGTTACGCATGCATGACTAGCCATCGCCTTCCTCGACAACGGGCAATGTTAGATGACACTGGATGGATCAGGTTAGTCAAATCAAAGCATGGCTTCATCAGTCAATGAAACCAAGAACAGTTAGTTTAATCCAGTCACATAGGAAGGTGTAGACTGGCTTCCTGGTTGGAGTCCTCGGGACGGTAAACACCAATGACGACTGGAGACAATTGGTGATATGGCTCAAAATCATTGTCAATGGCTAGTGCAGACGCAACCACTCCTTGTGACATATAATACCAAATGAAATTATATTCTTCTTCGTTATTACAACACTTTTTACCTCGTATCTCTGTTTACGGTCTCTATTTCCATTTCTATTTACTTCCTTGCCTTGCTTTGTGTGCTACAAGGAGAGAGTGTGGCAACTCGGACTGCTGCAGATCGGTGCAAAATGGTTGTATACTGAAACCAGTCAGTCGATCGGTCGCTTCTCTACGATGCGTTTCAACTCGTTGGCTTCACAGTAGTCCCTCGAGCTTCGACTTCACGGTCTGCCTAAAATATTTGATATATCTGTTGAATATTTTCTTGACGTAAAAAAATAACAATTAACTAATTCAAGTCAGAACAAGCTGGATTCAGGAAAGGCAAATCATATTCTGACCAAATTGCAACTCTATGCATCATCATCACAGAACAAAGCATGGAATGGCAATCAAATCTCTACCTCAACTTCCTTCATAGACTTTGAGAAGGCCTTCGACAGCGCAGCGTTGACCGCGAAGTAATTTGCAAACTACTCGAGTACTACGGCGTACCCCAAATATTCATCAACCTTATTCAACAGCTGTACGACAACGGCACATGTCAAGTGATCCACAACGGAAAACTCAGCGAGGTGTTTGGAGTAAACACAGCAGTCAGACAAGGGTGCTTATTATCACCAATGATATTCCTAATTGTGGTGGACTGGATTATGAGTCGTTAGACAGTGGGAAACGAAAAGACAGGGATATCCTGGACCGACGTGGAGAACCTGGAAGACCTGGATTTCGCGTGGATGACTTATTTTTGATGTCACACAAAATCGAAGACTTACAAGCGAAAACCGACAAACTGGTCGAAGAAGCAGCAAACACAGGACTCCATCCAGGTGAACATAGACAAGACGGAGGTTATGAAAATAACCAACCAACAACAACAACAGCAGCAACATCCAGCGCCAATCAGCATCAAGGGGAGGAATTTGAAAGAGGTTACTTCATTCACTTATCTAGGGAGCATTTGTGGAGTCCTCAAAAAGAATAAACTTATCCAAATTTTACTACCATGTAAGAAATGAACATATTGTGCACTACTTTGTTTTAACCAAAAACTCTGTACTTTGAATTTTACCTCGGGTTTTGAATAAATATATAATTCTGCCTTCGACTCTCCGTCTTCTCCACCATCTCAACTGCCGTCGAACAATTTTAACCACCTGCTTTCTATCTCGAATTTTTGCAGGAGCACCGTAGTTTCTTCCTACGTACTTTGGTCGACCTCCGGCAAAGTCAATATTGGAGAATTAGTACTGGAGCAGGGTTCCCGCAGCACCTGGAGTCTATTACGTTTATTGTGGACTTTGGATCTTTGTAAACCCAAGTAACGAAACTTCAATATATTCTTCCCGTAACTAAACTGATTTGGTATTTTATTTTCTATTTGAATTTTGTCGTCAAACAGTGGGAAACGAGAAGACAGAGATATCCTGGACCGACTTGAGGAACCTACAAGACCTAGATTTCTCTGATAATTTATCTCCGATGTCACACAAAATCGAAGACTTACAAACGAAAACCGACAAACTGGTCGAAGAAGCAGCAAACACAGGACTCCATCCAGGTGAACATAGACAAGACGGAGGTTATGAAAATAACCAACCAACAAACAAACAACAAAAACCAGAGCAGCAACATCCAGCGCCAATCATCATCAACGGAAGGGATTGGAAAGAGGTTACTTCATCCATTTATCTAGCTAGGGAGCATTGTCTCAACTACAGGAGGAGAAACGGACGAAGATGTCAAATCGAGAATCGGGAAGGTGAGAAACACATTCATCAACCTGAAACCAATCTGGAAATCTTCGTCACTCACTCAGCAACACTCAACAACAAAATTCGGATTTTCAAGTGAGTTCTTCTATACGGATCAGAAACTTGGCGGTGGGTCACAAAGAATATTTCCAACAGCCTGTTGCACACCTTTATCAACAACAACAACAACAACTTTTTTCGCTCTATACTGAAGATCAGATGGCCACCGGAAAGAACAAGAACCAACAAGAAAATACGGGAACAAACAAACTAAACAAGAACCAATCGCCAGAGAAATATGCAGGAGAAAGTAAGTGGAGATGGATGGATTGGACACTCGCTGAGGAGGCCGCCACTGGGTGACATCGCGCATCAGGCAATCGCTCGAGTGGAACCCGAAAGGGAAGCGGTGAGTAGTGGGTCGTGTCTCCCAGGGTGACATGGAGTAGATCGTGTGGAGAAGAGTTGAAACAGTTTGGAATAACATGGATTCAGGTGAAAAGTACATTGGCAGAAGACAGAAACAATTGTATAAATGAATTATAAATTACAAAGTTGCTGACCAGCTTACCTATCCGTGAGTGGTGTGACCACGAGTCTTTCTGTGCACCCGATGAATTCATCTTGATAAACAAAATTCACATCAGTTATGGAAATTAAACAAGCATCTGAATCTTCCAGATAGTAGAAACGTGTTTGTTTCAACCAGTCAAAGTCTGTCGGTGATTTGATCCGATCTTTAACCTGTGAAGAAGAAGTAAGCACCACAGAGTGTGAACACAGTATATAGCAAATTTCACATATATGCGCACATGTAATAATGATTCAAAAATGCAATTGACTTTTGGGGATCAAATAAAAAAAAGCTTCTTTTTTTTCAGGGAAGTTCATCTCCTCCGTCATTCCACTTTCAATTTCCACTTAATACTAGGAGAGAAGATCCTTATGCCAAACCACACACAGAAGAATCAGCTTCCTTAGGATGTTAGATTTTAAAGGATTATCAATTGTTGATATTTTTTGTAGGGATTTTTTTGTTTGAGTGCATGGAGGATTTCATCATGAGCTGGCATCAGTTAGAGAACCGACTGGGAGTACTGGATAGCTGTTTCGTCCTAGTCTGGGACTCTTCATCAGCACCAGACAACTCTTCAAACTTATCAGGGAAACAGGTGGTAAAAGGCAAATGATAAGCGAAACAATCTCTGAGAAAAATGGCACCATAATTAGCTCCCAGGATAAACGACTAGAGCGCTGGGAAGAACACTATGAGGAGCAGTTTAATTGGCCCACAGCCACACTTAACCTGCCGAACATCCAACACCTCTCTGAATAGGATATAGACACAGGTCCTCTGTCCTTAACTGAGGTTACTAAAGCTGTCACTAGTCTGAAGCAAGGCAAAGCAGCGGGACCTGATAGAATGACTCCAGAGGTATTTAAGTACGGGGGAGACAGTTTACTGTCTTCATTAACTGAGGTTCTAGGCAGCGTCTGGGAATCAGAGGAAGTCCCATCGGGTTGGTGTAAGTCACTGACCATCCCGATATACAAGAAGGGAGACAAGTCTTCTTGTGATAATCACAGAGGGATTAGCTTGACTAATATAGTATCTAAAATCCTAGGCTCAATAATACTGCGTAGACTAAGTGGTGCGCGGGAGGCACAAACACGAGAAAACCAGGGAGGTTTTAGGTCGGGAAGAGGGTGTATTGATCATATCTTCACCCTTCGACAGATTCTAGAACATAGGCATTCCTACCGGCGCCCGACAATCATTATATTTCTTGACCTAAAGGCGGCAGGTTGAAGATAAGGTAGTAACTCATCGAAGAAGACATTGCGAAATGGTCGCGCTTGTGTCATGAATTGGCAGAAGTTAGAATTCACGCACTGGTCATTGGATCGAGTCCCAGTAGCTTTAATGGTCTACAAGCTCGCCTTGAAACCAGAAGGTCCTGGGTTCAAACCCGTTGTGATGGGTGCGTACTGATGAAGAGTCCCGAACTAGGACGAAACAGCTGTTCAGTACTTTCAGGCGGTTTTCAAGTGGTTCTCTAACTGATACCAGCTCATGATGAAGTCCTGCATTCAATCAAATTTAATAATAACCGAAATGGTGAAAATATCGCTCTAAGTGAGTAATTCTGAGTCATTCTTTGGTAATCAATCAGAAATTTCAGTATACTATGCAAGAACGTATAAATAAATAATATTTTTGGTCATATTCGAAATAGACTACATGAATTAGCAGTTTATTTTATCGGAATACAAACTAACGTCTGCCCAAGAGAAAAATATATATAATGGATGCCCTCCAAGATTCATCTAGAAAAACATGAAGTTAAGGCGAAAGCCTGAAAGAACTCAGACGATGCCGAAGAAACTGCTATTTACGGTCGTTGAATTTAAAGGTGAGATCCTGAAGAACCGCTGCTTATCCAGATCACTGAGAAAAGTCTTCTTTCCGGATGAGCCACGAATCAGTTTCTACAGCCGACAAATGATCAATGGATGTGGGAAGGATAAACTACCGTTTAGGACAGGCCACTTCAATGTGTGTGTTTATAAATTTACCTGCTCGTGTGGAGCTAGTTATATTGACCGCCCGCACAACTTGGCGAACACTTTCCAAACACATCTCTGAACATTATCCGGCATGGTTAGCAAAGAGGACAATAACACAAGACAATTACTAGCTCAATTCTCGAGTATTTGGTGAACTCAAACCACGTAGGTCCACCAGAGTAGTCTATCGAGATCATCTGCAAGATGAGGCTAAATGGTACAAATGGCGTCACGTTTTGGCTTTTTTGTATGGCGAAGGCACTGGCAATTCAACGTCAATACAACCCCGAGCTCTGTATACAGAAAAAGTTTGTCCAGTCTCTTATTCTACCTTGGTCTTAACCTCTTCACTAGTCGTTCCTATTTTTAATTTAACTTTTAGTTTGCTTTCGCTTTAATAATTAATTCACTATTATCACTCTCATATCTTCCCTGTTGTACATTTTCACACCCTCCTCACACTTGTTCAATTGACACTCAGCTACCACCTTTATTCTCACTCACTCAATAGCAATTTTAATCTTATCAAATTTCCAACCATTTCTTCCTTCGTGCCGTTGGGTATTACACAATTTGCAACTTTTATGTTTTACTTCTAAAGCCACTTCTGTGTAGTCATATCAAATGATGTCATCCCCTATTACTCAATAATAGACCACTATATATACATTTTGGTAAGTATAAATACGACTGTACAACCAAGCCAGCCAGCCTGTGAAAATGATTTCGTCGATAAAGAAAATTTCCTCCCTGAGCTGACATTGCTTAGAGAATCTTTAGAAAACCTGCAGGGAGTACTGGACAGACAACTGTTTTGTCAGTCTATACTCAGACGCTTCATCAGTACGCACCCAACCCACTTGCGTTCAAACCCAGGACCTTCTTGTTAAAAGGTGAGCTAACTGGTAGATCATTGAGCCACTGGGATTCGATCCAATGACCGGTGCATGAATTCCAACTTCTGCCAATTCATGGAGTGGCCTTTGGATCGAATCCCAGTGGCTCAGTGGTCTACCAGTTAGCTCGCCTTTTAACAAGAAGGTCGAGACTTCGAACACCTGGTGGTGAGGGCCTACCGATGAAGAGTCCCGAAAGAGGCTGATGAAACAGTTGGCTGTCCAGTACTCCCTGCAGGTTTTCCAGGAGTACAGAATTAACCAATAGCTGAGGCAACACTTTATTTATTTACTGAAAAGAAAACAACAACTCATGAACAACCCAGTAGTTACTGAAGACAGGCCTAATGAATTTAAAGGGTCAAGGTCAGATAGGAAAAGACGAAAATAGAAAATACTAATGAACCAAACTATGATTCAATAAAGCATTCCCATTGCTATGCAAGTCATCTTAAAACTTTAAACAGAAATCTGAAATAGTAAAGAAAAACATAATAGAAAATGCAGTGATTCAGATCGCGAAACTGTACACCTTTCGAGATAAACCGATTATTATATTATAATTATTGTTCCCTTGGGTTCCTAGAGGAACTACACTTTTCCCCTTGCTTCCGTCTTCTGCTGTACTTTTCACCTGCATCCATGTTAGTCCATACTGTTTCAACACGATCTCCTCCATATCATCCTTGGACGTACCACTACTCACCGCTTCCCTTTCGGGTTCCACTCGACCGATGGCCTGACGCCCGATGTCACTCAGTGGCGGCCTCCTCAGCGAGTGTCCAATCCATCCATCTCCACTTTCTCCTGCATATTTCTCGGGCGACTGCTTCTTCTTGTGTTTGTTTGTTCCCATAGTTTCTTGTTGGTTCTTGTTCTTTCCGGCCATCTGATCTTCAGTAGAGAGAGAAGACAGTTGTTGTTGTTGATAAAGGTCTGCAACAGGCTGTTGGAAATATTCTTTGTGACCCGCCGCCAAGTTTCTGATCCATCCGTATAGAAGAACTGACTGACTTGACGTTTGTATTGAAAATCCGAATTTTGTTGTTGAGTGTTGCTGAGTGACGAAGATTTCCAGATTGGTTTCAGGTTGATGAATGTGTTTCTCGCCTTCCCGATTCTCGATTCGACATCCTCGTCCATTCCTCCTGCTGTAGTTGAGACAATTCTCCCTATCTGGATAAGTGAATGAAGTCACCTTTTTCAAATCCCTCTCGTTGATGGTGATTGGCGCTGGATGTTGCTGTTGTTGTTATTGGTGGTTGGTTGGTTGGTTATTTTCATAACCTCCGTCTTGTCTATGTTCACCTGGAGTCCTGTCTTCTCTGGCTGCTTCTTCGACCAGTTTGAGATAAACTTATTGAAAATATCCCCATTTAGACATTTGGAAAACAGAAAGATTGAGCGAAAAAATATTTACTTTTCAATTAGATCCTCTTCTATGGCTCTACTCTAATATATATAGCATTTTTTACTATACACAACAATTTACCAAACAAGTGGTGATATGTTTGTTAACAATAATTAGTCAGTGTCAAAATGTCGATGGGTTGATAATTAACGAAGAAAATCAATACACACACAATTAAAAGGTAGAAATGGATAGAATAAATTAATTTCACAAGGATAACACGTAATTAAAGATGAAGTGGTCAAAATAAAAATAAAATAATTTGGACAATTATAATTTAATAGGGGGAGGGGGGCGACGTAGTCCTGTCTTGTAGCGATGGCCATGGTAAGGAAAGTGGCTGTACAAATTTCTTCTGAATACACACACAGGTTCGTTGGCTTCTTCAGGTGGATTCCGATTGCCTCAGCTGTCTGTAGAAGACGAACTCGTAGAGTAAAGTTAAGATTAGCCGAAATGCGATAAATAATTTAAAATGCAGTATTCACATCAACCTTGTGCTCAGTATCAACAAGGTGTGCTAAAATTTGTGTGCAGTCAAACTGGTAGACACACATAGAAGAGGCAAAATTAGGTAGTTTGTCCTTATTTCTCGAACATAGAATAGGAGTGGTCAACTTCACAACACTTATATGCACTTATATATGTGGCGTTAATCTGTAGGAGAACTTCACAGTGGAACTGCAGCATGTGGAATAGATGTTGGTTTCATGCAAGCAATTTTTAAAGTCGATCTATCTTGTAGGCTGACACTTTGACTTAGAGATATGCTGATTAATCGCTGTTACACCAGTTTGTAGCAAAATATTTATGTGTCAACTAATGACTGGACTCGTTGTTCAGTAGATATGTGGTGAGAGCTGGCTGCTAACCAAAGTTGGTAGACAGTAATTGACGTCAATGTTTATGTCCCCAATATTGGTGGTGGTGAGAAAATGAGAACAAAGTCTTTGCGTAGGCGGATACAGTTAGCATATGGATGATCTGATACAGGCACAAAGAGATGCAAGGTTAACTTTCTGTGAGAAACAACCAATCAACAGACTGTATTTCCTACTAACAATAATCTACAATAATGTACATTAAAATCTATAAATATGTGTTGATTTTCCTTAATAAACGATCTGTTGCCTGACTCTTGTCTTCTGTTGTTATAGATATATTCATAGTCTCAATGCTGACGTTAAAAAATTAAGAATAATAATAATTTTAACTACGATAACCGCAAGTATCAGTAATACGTGGTGAGAAAACATTCAGATATTGTGAATATATTTCATAAAATCATACAGTCGGTGGACAGAGTGAAAATTTCCTGGTGTTAGTTCTAGTGAGAAGTCGTGTGACCAGTGATGTCCAACCAGTAGTCAAGTGTGAGGATGGATGTCCCTTGCAACGACATTGGTTGGTGCCAGTCGCGCTAAATGCATCACGAATTGGTAGAATTTAGAATTCATGCATGGCTGGCTGGCCATTGAATCGGGCGGGTCCCAGTGACTGGTTGCTGAATGGTATACTAACCAGCTTGCTGGTCTTGTAACCGAAAGCTCCTGAGTTCGAATGCCGTTGTGGTGGATGGGTACTGCGCCAATGACCCCCAAACACTAGGCAGATGAAGCAGCTGTCTGGCAGTACTCCCTGTGGCTGGTTTTCCAATGGTTCTCTCTAACTGATATCAATCCGTGCGTAGTGAAACTTGTAAAAATTCCTCCCCGGCCAGCCCCGCAAGTCGATACCGACCAGGAAAACTATCAACTCAAAACATGACTTACTAATGATGCAAAAATGTCTTTCTGATGTAGATGTATAGTGATTAGTGTTTCTAGTTTAGTACGTTCAACTGGTGTCAGATTATGCGTAGTCTGTTGGATCAGCATATTCAGTAGACGACCAAATTCATGATCAGTTCTTTGCATTATCTTCTTGTTATATTTAGCCTCGCGTAGTGCATTCGTCGAGTCTCTTGTCCATATAAACTGTATGCCTAATAATCCAACCTGAAAGAAATAAAAGCAGTAGATTAATTAAGTACGATGAAGAAAAATGTGTTACAAAATGTTACGCTGCTAAAAAGTAGTTGTTTTTTAAAAATAAAATACCCGCATAAATGGAACGAACCTGAAAGAAACAACCTCCTTCACCTACCTGGGAAGCATCGTTTCAATTACAGGCGGACGGAAATCACGAGGATATCTAAGTAGCGAGGATCAGGAAAGCAAGACAAGCTCTACCTACTCTCAAGTCTGTGTGCATGTCAACACTCAGCACCACTCAGCATCAAAAATAAGATCTGGATTTTCAACTCCAATATAAAGTCAGTCAGTGCTACTTGCTATACGCCTCCAAAGCCTCAGGATGGGCTGCGGGTTGGCCACCCCTCCGCACACCTCTTCAAATGCTCCCATATGACCGGGCGTCTTACATACCCTCTACTGAGGAAGTCCTACTCACTGCCTTCACGTGGCGGAGATGTTTTTCACCAAAGTGAGAGGGCGAAAGCAGATGCCTGGCGCTCTTCACCGGGTTGACTGTCCATTGGATGACAGTCTAGGGGAGATGGCTAAACCCTGATTCCAAACCTCCAACGACTGGCGTATGAAGCTCACTGGAGCTCACCGGCAGACGTATGGACAAAGGGCTTGTTGGATGTCCTGGATGTCTGGCCCCATTCAAAAAGGCGTATGAACCGAACTCCGGTCACCGGCTGCCAATGGATAGTGGACTCCCTACTCCACTCCTACTGCCTTGTAGGTCACACTTGGTTGTGTAAAGGCTAGGCTCTCAAACAAAAGGCCGAGCGATTCTGGGGACATCATTCATACCAAATTCCTATGAAACTTCATGAACTCTCTTACAAACACGTCGCCTTCGGTGGTTTGACCATGTTCTGCGTCGACCAGATGACGATCTGGTCAAATCAGTTCTAAGTCCCTCGCCATTACCATCTAGGCGATGTCGCAGGGGTGGACAGCTGAAAACATGGCTTCGTGCAGTCAAGGCTGATATGGAGTGCCTGGGGCTACAAACCGTCTACGGACTCCGTGTGTGGAACAAGAATTGGATAACCCTGTCGCAAAACCTTGCATCAGATCGCCGCGCCTGGGCAGCGATGATTCGAGATGTTCATGAAGCCGGCTCATCCTCCCGTAGGAGATAGCCGAAGTAAAGTAAAGTAAGTAAGTACTTGCTATACGGATCAGAGACTTGGCCAGCACGTCATAAAGAGCATCTCAAACAAACTACAGACCTTCATCAACAGTTGTCTTCGCTCAGTACTCAAGATCAGATGGTTGGCCAGAAAAGATCAGCAACAGGGAGGGATCTCTGGCAATGAGCGAACCAACACAAAAGGAACCGATTGTGAAACAAATAGGCAGGAAGAAATGAAGGTGGATTGGATTGGCCATACTCTCAGAAACTACTCGAGTACTACGGCGTACACCAAATATTCATCAACCTTATTCAACAGATGTACGACAACGGCACATGTCAAGTCATCCACAACGGAAAACTCAGCAAGGCGTTTCGAGTAAACACAGGAGTCAGACAAGGGTACTTATTATCACCAATGATATTCCTAATTGTGGTGGACTGGATTATGCGTCGTCAGACAGTGGGAAACGAGAAGACACGGATATCCTGGACCGACGTGAAGAACCTAGAAGACCTGGATTTCGCGCATGGATGATTTATGTTTGATATCACATAAAATCGAAGACTTACAAGCGAAAACCGACAAATTGGTCGAAAAAGCAGCAATCACAGGGCTCCAGGTGAACATAGACAAGACGGAGGTTATGCAAATAACCAACCAACAACAGCAACAACATCCAGTGCCAACCACCATCAACGGGAGGGATTTGAAAGAGGTTACTTCATTCACTTATCTGGGGAGCATTGTCTCAACCACAGGAGGAGGAATGGACGAGGATGTCAAATCGAGAATCGGGAAGACGAGAAACACATTCATCAATCTGAAACCAATCTGGAAATCTTCGTCACTCAGCAACACTCAACAACAAAATTCGGATTTTCAATACAAACGTGAAGTCAATTTTGCTTTACGGATCAGAAACTTGGCGGGTCACCAAGAATATTTTCAACAGGTTGCAGACCTTTATCAACAACTGTCTTCGCTCCATACTGAAGATTAGATGGCCGGAAAGAATCACAAACAAGAAGCTATGGGAACAAACGAAACAGGAACCAATCGCCCAACAAATATGCAGGAGGAAGTGGAGATGGATTGGACACTCGCTGAGGAGGCCATTGCTGGGTGACATCGCGCGTCAGACCATTGCTCGAGTGGAACCCGAAAGGGAAGCGGCGAGTGGGTCGTGTCTCCAAGAGTGACATGGAGGAGATCGTGTGAGGAGGAGATGAAACAGTATGGAATAACATGGACGCAAGTGAAAAGAACAGCAGAAGACAGAAGCAAGTGGAGACGTGCAGTTGAAGGCCTATTTTCCACTAGGAACCCAAGGGAACAATAATAAATAATAATAATACTCTCAGAAAACAAACCATCAAGTGACATCACTAGACAAGCCATTGCACGAGCGGAATCTGAGAGGGAAGCGGCGAGTTGGTCGTCAGTGTGAGGGTGGGGTGACTTGGAGGAGGTTATGTGAAGAGGAGATGAAAGCGTGTGGGCAAACTTGGTTGGAGCCAGGTGAAGACTCCAGCAGAGAACCGAACGCAATGGAGATGCACGGCTGAAGCCCTATGTTCCTCTAGGAATTAAAGGAAACAATAATAATAAATATTATTTACACTGTAGTCACAGTTATATTAGGTTAGGTTGTAAAACTTAATGCCTCTAGTTGTTGTTACCTAACTTCATTGAAGAAGTTTCTAAACGCCATTAGACAAAACAACACACATTTTACTGCCATGTACTGCTGACCGTCAACAGACACTCAAATTTGAGAGCACTGACTGAATTCCTAGAACAAAACCCTTCAGAGAAGAGCATGACATAGTGAACCCTATAATGACTGTCTAGACCTTAGAGTGATACGGGTCGAAATGAAACTCAGCTGGAGTATGAATATACCGATGTCAGCTGTGTAAATCCGCAAGTACACTTCCCCTAACCCCGCCCCCCCCCCAAAAAAACACACACAATGATGTGATAAAAAAAGGGAAAAAGCATTAAAACAATTTTTACAAAAGAAATTCAGTACGAACCTGAGCAGGGAATGTGGCTAGAAATTCTAATATATTCACGCCTTCTTCCATTGCAGCTTGATAGCCTTCCCTGATTATCTGATGCAGAGAGAATTGAGCTTCTTTCAGCAACTTGTTTAGCCAAATCTCCACATGTCCTTCAGCTTTTACAGGATGCTCTAACTACAAGAGAGAAAAGAAGGAATTTATGGTTGATTTTTCCAGATCTCAAACAAAGAAACAAACAAACAATATTCGATCACCATATTTTTTCCTTCTCAGTCACATAGCTGAGGCGCTAGCTATCCAAAAGCTCAAACCCACGCTTTCTTTCCGAAAGAAATACGTCCAACCCCTGTCCCTACCATGGCCATCATAAACAGGTAAAAATTTTTTTAGTAATGACCATCCCATCGCCTTTCTTATCTAAACTTCCCGTTTATTCATGTTATTTTCAATTTTTCCAAATCACTGTCTACACTACCATATTTTCATATCCACACTTCCTGTTTATTTTGTCATTTTACTATTTCTACATATTTAATCCCTGATCGCACAAACAATTATTCGTCACATTAGTTTTTTATCCAAACATCCCGTCTATCTATTTTGTTATTTCTACATTTCTAACCGCCAACTGCACAATGTCAATCGTCTTAGTTATTATAATGCTACTTTGTTTGACTTTTATCCGTCCCCCTGTTTATTATGTCATTTTAATTCCTAATTGTAATTTTTATTAATTTGACCCCTAACCAGAAATTGTTCTGGAACTTTCCCATCCATTTGATATAAATACACGAATGTACAGCCTAGATGATGACTTTGTCGAAAAGAAAATTTTCTTCCTCACTGCAACTGTCTTTTTATTCCCTACAGTCACATTTTGTCACAAAGTAACAAACATCATTCGAGAAAAAAACTGCTTGGAAATAACTTTGGGTATAGTCAGTAATTGGAACTGACAATCATGCAGCAAGTGATAAAGCCGTAGAACATCATACTATGAACGCTTAATTATTCAAAATAGCAAAATTATTTTATTCAGATATCTATAGAATACAAAATAACTGAGAAAAGAATATCCTTTTCGATGATTTCATTCTCTTCTCGCCCTACAATTATATATACAGAACAAAATATTTACAGCGAGAACAATAGTGGTTTCAATAAATTCTTCCTTCTTCAGGCTCTACAATTATAAATCCATTAATTAATTTAAGCATACAATAGCCAGCATTAAGTCGTCCTCAAGTGGTACTTTCGCCTTAAGTTCTAGTTCAGACCAGCCGAGCATAAAAACCTAGTAGCAAAATCTAGATTAGTTGACACAAATAAGATAAGAAATCTGCAGAATAATTAGTTCAGCTTTAACACTACATGGAGTTACACACAACCATAGAATAGCATAGGATGACAGTTTTAAAATCTTATGTCACAGGGTGGAGGGAAGGAGAGATTGACAACAACAGAAGCTTTGTTTATCGAATCAACTGAGAGAAAATACGTGTAATAGGACTCATTCAACACCTGTCCACAAAAATATCTGGAAAATCCTACCAACACGCCTACGACGACGACAAATAGGAGAGGACAAAGAAAACTATCAGACTCAAGTTTCGAAGTCGTGTGATTATAATTGATGAAATGATTATGAACAATAAAAAATCTTGTTCGAAACTGTGTCATCCAGTAAATACTAATACTGTTTCACTGACAAACTAATATGGAATAACTTACTACCATCACAGTGCCCAAGTTTTACACATATATTAACAATTCATGCATCTTTTGACTAAGGCATCAAAATTAGTTACGCTGAAACTAAGATACATATATTCGTATATAAATATTAGGCAACTAAAAATGAAATCTACGCTCACCTCCAACACTTCACCTTCTTGTGAATAACACGTTAAAATCGTCTCATATTGTTTTTCATGAAATTTAACTGTCTTAATATTATCGAATACTGACAGCAAATGTGCCTGTATTGTATGCGGATCTGAGGCTTGACCGAGAATCTCCAGTAAGGTTGGATCGGATACGAAAAAGAAACGTGGGAATAGGAGACGCTTTTTCTCTAAATACCTAAAAAAACAAATAACCATTCGGAAAACAAACAAAAAAAACATTGCACATAATGAGGAAATATATACGCATACTATTTATTACATGTCAAGTGACAATTATTGGCGGTTAACCAAAATAAAACAAAGGATATTATTATTATTATTGTTCCCTTGGGTTCCTAGTGGAACATACGGCTTCAAATACACGTCTCCACTTGCTTCCGTCTTCTGCTGTACTTTTCACCTGCATCCATGTTAGTCCATACTGTTTCAACTCCTCTTCACACGATCTCCTCCATGTCACCCTCGCACTGACGTCCCACTACTCGCCGCTTCCCTTTCGGGTTCCACTCGAGCGATGGCCTGACGCGCGATGTCACCCAGCGGCGCCCTCCTCAGCGAGTGTCCAATCCATCTCCACTTACTTTCTCCTGCATATTTCTCGGGCGATTGGTTCTTTTTTGGTTTGTTTGTTCCCATAGTTTCTTGTTGGTTCTTGTTCTTTCCGGTGGATCTGATCTTCAGTATAGAGCGAAGACAGTTGTTGTTGATAAAGATATAAGTATAAAACTTGGGCACTGTGGTAGAGTACAACTCCATTATGGATAAGATTTTGTTTTGATAAATCACACAGTGTTGCACAGTAATATTTACAGATGACCGCGTTTCGACCACAAACTATTGCTCATAATCATATCAAGTTGATATGATTATGAGCAATTCCTTTGATATGTATTCCTTCTATTACCAAGCATTAAGGAGGTAGTTTTTTTTCTAAAAAAAAGCTTTTGACTCATCAAACTATACAAAAGACGTTCTCCTTTGAGACACTTCCACTTTCCATCTAGATGCAGATACGACAGTTTTCTTCCCCTGACGGTATTCAGTTGATCGTGACTAGCAGTAGAATTGAAGACGTACATTTCTCATTCTCTTAGGAACTTATCTGCTACACTTACCTGTATCCTAGTGAGTAATTGTTTCCAAACTGGGATTCGATGCTGAATGCTATTGTTTTAAACGCCAATAGGACAATATACACATTTCCTCAGTTTTGTACCAATCCGACACAAAAATCAATTTGGTCAGATGCCGCCTCACGAATAGAGCAAGACGTATCTGTACAGATGACTCCCTACAAAATGAGTTAGGATACATCGAAAATACGCTGGTCCAAATGGGTTATCCTAGTAGATTTGTAAGGAGACAGGCACATGAACACCAAGTACATACAACAAAGAGAAACTGACAACACAGTTGAAAAGAAACAACTGTTCATGAAATTGCAATTTAATGGGGACGTGGCTAGCGAAGTCTTACAACATCTGAGATTATCGAGAGCGATAAAACGGACTTATACTGCCACCGTCACCCTTTGTTTGTCATTTTCCAGCTGCCGACCAATTATGATTGCTCAAGTGAAAGACAAGCTACCTAGCTAGCTGTGCCACTTCTATGCGTGTATCTATAAATTTAGTTGCTCCTGTGTGGAGAAAGCTGGCTATATAGGGCGAACAACTAGACAGCTTAACAAACGCATTAATGAGCATCTTCCTTCATGGTTCGGAAAAGGTCAAATAAAAATCTATAAGAAGTTCTACTTTGGCACATTTGATTGATGATAGCGGTCACCAAGTGGACAGAAGTAGTGCCGTCAAAGTTATCTATCGCATTCCATCGAACTACCTTTCGAACGGAATTCCAACCCACCTTGTACACACATTCGAAGCTATGGGAATCCTAGTGTCTTTGCATACGACAAAAGAAGTTTGTTTTACCTTTGTCTCTCATTTGCTTAGCTAGCCTAGGTGAATTCTAATCAAAACCC